AGACCTTAGCGATTATCTGGGCTCCAGACACAGTGAACATCTTTCAGTCCCTCAAATGTGCCACATTCTTTTATATCCAAGCATTTCCTATAGTTGGATTATGCTTTATCTCCAATTTAACCACCCCAACACCTACTCACCTTTCTACAAAAGCAAACCTTAAGTTTTGCTTCTCTACTTTTCCTTATGTGTTTTCACAGCTTGTTCACCCATTCATTGACTTGATGCCCCAGAAGATTGAAAGCTTTGTGTGAGGAGGAACTAGGACTTTACCATCTCGTCCTATCACAACACCTGGCATATGGTAGGCATTTAACGATGGTTTGTTGAAGAGATGAAGAACAAGCCTGACCAAAACAATTAAAATATGTTCTATAGCTCTAGAGCTGCACTACCCAACAGAAGTTTCTACAATAACAGAAATGCTCAATATCTATGCTGTCCACTACACTGGTCACTAGTCACATATGGCTATTGAATGCTTGAAATGTAACTAGTGAAACTAGTTGAATAAATAAATTTTCAGTTTTATTTAATTTTCATTCATTTTAATAGCCATATACAGTTAGTGGTTAACATACTGGACACTGCAGCTCTAGGGTTACAATAGAAATATAATATACATGATTTGGTTTGATTATATGGTTTAATATATAGATCACATTTTAAAATATGGTTTACTGAAATAATTCAGATTTCCTACGTGAAATGTCTCTTAACAGATTACATAATATTCAAGGACAGGAATTTTATCTTGCTAATCATCATCTTATATATAGTAGATACTTGGCATTTTATTTATTTTTATTTTGCTTTACTTTATTTTATTTTATTTTGAGACAGAGTCTTGCTCTGTCACCCAGGCTGGAGTGCAGTGGCACAATTTTGGCTCACTACAACCTCCACCTCCTGGGTTCAAGTGATTCTCCTGCCTCAGCCTCTCAAGCAGCTGGGATTACAGGCACCCACCACCGCGCCCAGCTAATTTTTAAATTTTTAGTAGAGACGGGTTTCACCTTGTTGGTCAGGCTGGTCTCAAACTCCTGACCTCAAGTGATCCATCCACCCACCTCAGTCTCCCAAAGTGCTGGGATTACAGGCATGAGCCACCATGCCCAGCCAGATACTTAACATTTTAAAACATTTAACATTCAGTTAAACTGAATGGGAACACTGACTCTCAAAATTTAAATAATCTGGTGTCTCTGTTTATTTAATTTTCTTCCTAGTTTAAGTATAAAAGGTGAAAACTAAAAAACAGATAACCAAGTTAAAGTAAAACAAAAAAAGATGTTACCTGGACTGAGTATCCACCACAGTGTCAATCAGAAAAGGAACTATGGCCAAGAATGTTCCCACATATCTCCTGCATCTCTACGTCTGTTCCACCTTTGCCCACATTATTTTCATTGCTAAAAGCCAAACTCCTGTCCCAATCCCATCTTCATCTGTCCAAATTCTACATGTACTTCAATTTCCAGTTCACATGTTGCTTCTTAATAAAGCATTCATGTTAACAAAAGTATTGGATCTGTCTTGTCTACGCAGTCCTCTAAGTCGGTTAATTCTGTTTTGTTCTATAGGGCTTGTCAAGTTCATTACATAGAATTAATTTTAGCTACATAGAATCTAATACCTTTTACTTTTCTGAACTATCAGCAATTGATATATGTAGTATTTCATTTTTATCATCACCAATTCTGAAAATTAAGATCTTCTTGAATTAAGTCAAACATCTTTTACACATTAGGCATATAATTCAGTATATTTCCAAACCTAGAGAAATATCTTTCATATAAACAGAAGAAATCAGAAGCAAGAGTCAGACACTGTGTCATACAAAATGATGCCTTTGACTGATAGAAAAGATATGCTTGACAAAATCCCAAACTACATTCCTAGAACTACTCCCTGATGAAACCGGTTCCTTACAAGATTTGAAAGTACCTTCAAATCCTAAGTGCATATTGGCTTTTTGTGATCCAGCCATAAGGAGTAAGAGTACTATCATCATTTATATTTCTGGATCTAGGATATGTGTATCAGCATGAATTCGCTGACAACAAAATTCCTCATACTTCTGAACACAGCCTTCCATGGAACTTTCTTCTGTACTTTTAAGCAAAAACAAATTCTAGTAAAACTGCATTTTACTAGAGAAAGGCAAGAAATTAAATCATCTATCCTTAACTGAGTTCTCACTGACACTCAGCAGCTTACCTCATTTTAACTATTTCCCACTGCGACTATTCTACACCTTTTCTCCTATCTCATTTTTCCTCATTCTTGGCCAATGGCCTTATCTTCTTCAATGAGATGCCTGAGGTCTGGTATATGCTCCCCCAGCATCTGTCCTCTCGCTACACGTCCACCCATCTCCTATCCTCTTACTCCTCTGATCTCTAAATATTCCTTCCCAAGGTCAATAACTCAACCTAAAAACTTCATATCATTCTTTCCAGATTCCTCCAAGATCTATCAGCCAACAATTAACCGCCTACTCCCTAGTACCTTCTTTCTCTTCTTCTCCAAATACTCCTTTACCTCTGCCTACAAATACACTTATTTTTTTCAATTTAAAGAAGTCTTCCCTTGACCCTAGTGATCCTATAGCTAACATTTCATCTCTATCCTCCCATTCATCTCCAAAATCCTTGAAAGAGTAGTCTATATTGGAAAGGTTATTCTTTAACATGCACCTATTCTTTAACTTCCTGGGTTCATTCACCCACATCATAGTATTAAAACTATCTTCTTAAAGGCCATCAGTGACCTCAAAGCCACCAAACCTAGTGGAGTCTTCTTCATCTCCATCTGTCTTCTCCGCTGGAGAGTTGAGCATATGATACCACTGACTAGCCTCTCACAAAAATTCTTTCATCTCTTGGTTTCCATGTCATGTGCTGATTTAGAAAGCAAACATGGGAGCCAGCATCTAAACTTACAAAATGGCTAATATTATTTCCCTCACTCATAAGATACAGGAAAATAAGCAACAGACTCACTGAGTCTGTCCTGAGTGGGGAATTAAGCACAAAGAATCTTATAGGCCAGGTTGGTGGCTCATGCCTGTAACCCCAGCTCTTTGGGAAGCGGAGGCAAGTGGATCTCAGCCTAGCCAACATGGAGAAACCCCGTTATCTACTAAAAATACAAAAAATTAGCCGGGCGTGGTAGCACATGCCTGTAATCTCGGTTACTCAGGAGGCTGAGGCAGGAGAATTGCATGAAACCGGGAAGTAGAGGTTGCGGTGAGCTGAGTTCACATCACTGCACTCCAGCCTGGGCAACACAGCAAGACTCCATCTCAAAAAAAATTTTAAAAATAAAGAAGAAAAAGAAACTTACCTATCAGGTAAGGTCAGGAATAGTATATCTAATCTTAACGTTGAGAATGTAAGCCTCTGAGCCCTCATATCATTCTGGGGATTATCAGTCCTAACAGCTTCTGTGATGATTCAACAGAAAGAACAATAGAATTAACTTGAGTTAGAGCGCTACTCTAACCATAGAGAACAGAAGAGTCTTCAGGACAATGAAAACCGCAGCAGTAAAACAGGGTCACACACCTTAAGAGGGACTTCCTAATAATATGCTGTCCTGATTGTCCTGATTTCTTTCTCACCTCTTTGACCACTTTTGCCACCTTTTCTTCTTTTCAAACTCAAAAATGTGTGTATTTCTCAAAGCTTTGTCTTCAATCTTTTCTTCCTGTCTCTTTCTCTTTGCAATTCTCATAGACCCTACCTATTCACCTCAAACACTCAATACATCTTCTTAATTCCCCAAATCAACTCCTCTTCTTAATTTTCTTCTTTCTGTTAATGGTACAAGCAGTGCCCTAGTTACCCAGATGCAAACCTTGCTCCAATTCTCTTCTCTCTCACTTCCCACATATAATCATGGCTAAGTTCTGCCAATTCTATCTACCAAATGCTTCACTTTTCTTTTCCATTTCCACTGCCACACCTATGTCAGGCCCTTATTCTCTCTCACCTGGATCTCTGCAATGGCCCCTTAATTTTAATTCTTGATTCTAACCTCTCCCGACTCCATTATATCCTTCCCATTAATCATTCTAAAGCACAGCTACTAGCTCCTACCATGACCTTGCTAAAATGCTTTCATGGATTCCCCACTGCTAAAGAATAAAGTCCAAATCTTCATTCTCATTTTTAAAACCCTCCATGACCTGGCTCCAAGCTATATTTGTCATTTCATCTCCCACCATTCTCTTCTACAAAAGCTATACTTCACTCTAAATCAGGCTTCCTGTTTCCAAATATGCCCTACATCTCCACCTCTGCTCCCTCTTTGTCCATGCTATTTTCTTTGCCTAACTCCTACCCCAATCCCATCTTAAACTGTCCAAATTCAACACATACTACAATATCCAGTTCACATCCACCTCCTTCATGAAGCAATTATGTTAATTAAAGGATTAGATCTGTCTTGTCTACACAGTCCTCTTGGATGGTTGATTCTGCTTTTTCTACAGATGTTTGAATATTTATATTCTGCCTCTTCCTAGATAAGTTCTCTGAGGACAGAAGCAATATCTTATCCATGTTACTCTTTCTGCAGTGCTTAGCATAGTGTTCTATACTAGACAGGACTAGAATATATGTAAGTAAGCCTCACAAAATAGCTGATGTAATTACAGACATTCAGTTTAAGATGCCAAAGAACATCTGATTCAGAAGTAGTAAACATTTTAAAAGGAAAAAAAAAAAAACAAAACACTTTTTTCCTCTGCCTTTAGAATCCTCGGGTAGTCCTGAAGTCACACTCTGCCAATAATCTTTTATATGTTGTGTTCCTAACAATATTAGATATGAACATTTTCAACTATTTCTATTTCTTAAAAAGCTTCTTTCCCTCTTCCTTCTCCTTTTCTTCCCCCTCCTACTACTCCTATTTCTGGCCAATTTTTCAGAAGACATCCTTAATTTACCTCATTAAGTTTAACACAAGGTGATGTCACTTTTTTTTTTTCCCCCCCTTAAAGCAGCTACAGCATCTGTCCTTCTTCAAAAGATGTTTTTGGACAAGCCAAACTTCAAGATGTCATTTAGGAACAAGTTTAGACCACGGGATGCACATCTTATTGCAATGATACGTTACTAATCTTTATAAGCACTCTAGCTCTGTCCATGTACATTGTCAGAATGTATGACAAGGTTTAATATCACTTCTTCCCATATATCTGTCCCTTCATAAACATTGCAGAAACACTTCATTTACTTTCCATGCATAGATTTTATTACTGCTTAAAATCTCACACTGGTATGTACTTTGTATTGACAGTGATACTTCAAAATAGCTTATTATAAGCTTATTATAGTTCAAAACCTTGGACAACTGTTTTTAACTTCATCATTTTTTCTATAAATGAAGTCAGGGAGCATTTTCTACAAATGGTTTATGTAGCAATAGGTTACCTGAGGAGATGACTCTTGAATCTTTTGTGACAATACTACTGCTAGCATAAGCAACAAAAATTAAAGAAATTCTGGAATTAGAGTGGAAAGAGTAACTAATCTTCACTGCAAACGGTGACTTAGACTTCATTCTGGTTTTCATTTATCCCAATGAAGAACTTTTTGTTCAATACCTGTAGGGTATATTAGTTTGATGGTTCTAATAGCATTTGGAAATATCTATTGCTTTTTCAACATTTGTGAGTCACATGGGGTTATTTACACAAAAGAGCATGAGATCCAGAAATGTTTCCATATGCTAGAAAATGATTCCATCAGTTTAACAGGGCAGAAGAAAAAATGTGATTGATTTTGCAAATGAACACTAAGCTACAGGAGATTCCTTCAAAGCTAATTTTAACAACTTTGCAGCCACAACAGATCACCTTATAAAAAAACAGAATAGTATAAAGTCAATTATGATTTATATGTTATAAAAACATGCAGCATGGTTAAAATACAATTTAATATTCTAAATTCAGATAAACCTGAACTTTCACCTATTGATAAAATAGTAATTTTTCTGCCTATTCTCTTGTGACTCTTAGGATCATATAATCAAAAAAAAAGGCAAGTTCCAACTTTCTAACTTCAAAACTTTTAACCATACTGTTACTATTCTCTGTTTAAGCATTTTAAACCAGGAAGACAATAAGCTACAGGAAAAAAAAAAAAAAAGTGGGACTGCATTAAAGTCTAAAGGCAGTTGCCTTATTTTGGTTAATAAACCATTTAATGTTCAATTTCTGCTCTGAAAAAAGCTCATAAAAATTTAACTTGACAATAGCAAACCATCACAAAAGAAAGAAGATGACTCAAAGTCCACTGACAACCAGGTGATATTATTATTACACCCAGTTGCAGACCCAATGAGTGACAGTATATTTCAATGGATACAAAACCACAGGCACCAACTACGTACAGGCATACCTGCTTGTACTTCACATATATTGTGGTGTTTTACACATTGAGGGTTTGTGGCAACCATGCATTGAGCAAGACTATCAGTGCCGTTTTTCCAACAGCGTGTGCTCATTTTGTGTCTGTGTCACATTTTGGTCATTCTCACAATATTTCAAGCTTTTTCATTATTATCATACCTGCTATGGTGATCTATGATCAGCAGTCTTTGACATTACTATTTAGGCACCACAAACTGCAGTCCTATAAGATGTCAAACCTAATAGATAAATCTATGTATTCTGACTGTTTCACCACGACAGCCATTCCCCTGTCTTTCTGCCTGTCTCTGGACTCCTTATTCCCTGATACACAAAAATATGAAAGTTAATAACTCTAGATTTCTCTGAATCAGGTTAGAGAAAAAAATGGAAATAAAAAGAAATAACCCTACAATGGCTTCTAAATGTTCAAGAAAGAACAGTCACACATCTTTCACTTTAAATCAAAAGCTACAAATGATTAAGCTTAATGTGGAAGGCATATCAAAAGCTGAATCAGGCCGAAAACTAGGCCTCTTGCACCAAACAGTCAAGCTGTGAATACAAAGAAAAATTCTTGAAGGAAATTAAATGTGCCACCCCAGTGAACACACGAATGCTAACAAAGCAAAACAGCCTTATTGCTGATAAGGAGACCAAATGTCTGGACAGAAGACCAAACCAGCCACAACATTACCTTAAAGTCGAATCCTAATCCAGAGCAAGGCCCCAACTCTCTTCAATTCTATGAAGGCAGAGAGAGGAGAGAAAGCTGTAGAAGAAAAGTTGGAAGCTCGCAAAGGTGGCTTCATGAGGTATAAGGAAAGAAGCTATTCCATAAAAGTGCAAGTGAAGCAGCAAGCACAGCAAGATGCTACAGCAAGTTACTCAGAAGATCTACCTAAGATCACTGATTAAGGTGGCTACCCTGAACAACAGATTTTCCATGTAGACAAAACAGCCTCATACTGGGTGTGGGGGAAATGGCACATCAGACTTTCATAGCTAAAGAGCAGAAGTCAGTGCCTGGTTTCAAAGCTTCAAAGGACAGGCTGCGTCTCTTGGTAGGGGCTAATGCAGCTGGCAACTTTCTAAGTTGAAGCCAGTGCTCACTGGCCATTCTGAAAATCCTGGGACCCTCAAAAGTTATGCTTAATCTACTCTGCCTGTGCTCTAGAAATGGACCAACAGGTCTGGATGATAGCACATCTGTTTATAGCATGGCTTACTGAATATTTTAAGCCCTCTGTTAAGAACTACTGCTCAGAAGAAAAGATTCCTTTAAAAATATTACTGTTCATTGACAAAGCCCCTGGCCACCCAAGAGCTCTGGTGAAGATGTACAAGGAGATTAATGTTGTTTTCATGCCTATTAATACAGCATCCAGTCTGCAGCCCACAGATCAAGGAATAATTTCAACTTTCAGGTCTCACTATTTAAGAAATACATTTCGTACAGCTATTTCTGTCATAGATTGTGATTCCTTTGATGGATCTGGATAAAGGAAACTGAAATCTTTCTGGAAATAATTTACCATTCTAGATGCCATTGAGAATATTTCTGATTCATGGTAGGAGGTCCAAACATCAACACTGACAGGGGTGAAGAAGATTCTAACCCTCATAGATTACTTTGAAGATTTTAAGACTTCAGTGGAGGAAGTAACTGTAGATATGACACAAATAGCAAGAAAACTAGAGTTAGTTGTGGAACCTAAAGATGTGACTGAATTGTTACAATCTCATGACCAAACTTGAACAAATGAGGGATAAGGTATGAGCTAGGTAATGATGAATGAGCAAAGGAGTTATTTTCTTGAGATGGAAACTACTCCTGTTGAGGATGCTAAGAACATTGTTGAAATGACAACAAAGGATTTAGAATATTTCATAAACTTAGTTGATAAAGCAGTAGCAGGGTTTCAGAGGACTGATCCCAATTTTAAAAGAAGTTCTACTGTGAGTAAAATGCTATTAAGTAGCATGATATTCTACAGAGAAATCTTTCTTGAAAGGAAGAGTAAACTGATTCAAGCATCAATCAATGAACTTTATTGTTGTCTTATTTTAAGAAATTGATACAGCCACTCCAACTTTTAGCAACCACCATCCTGAGCAGTCAGCAGCAATCAACACTGAGAGAGGACCCTCTACCAACAAAAAGCTTATGACTCACTGAAGGCTCAGATGATCATTAGCATTTTTAGCAATAAAAAAATTTAAGTTAAGGTATGTACATTGCTTTCTTAGGCATAATATTATTGCACACTTAATAGACTACTGTATAGTATAAACATAACCTTTATACGCACTGGGAAATCAAAAAAATGTATGACTCACATTATTGCAATAGTTACTTTATTGTGGTAGTCTGATGCCAAACCCACGATATATTCAAGGTATGGCTGTGTACTGTAAGGAAATTTACTACCAAAACCAAAATACTTATAATAGTGCTGCTGGGTAGGATATATCTCCAGACCCCAATTCCTGTTGCAAGAGGTCGCTCTAGTTCTACTCTGCCTCAGAAGACATCCAAAGTACACTGTATATTTGTAGGAAATAAAGAGGCAGCATCTCTACAACCAGAGAAGTTCAAAATGTCTCCTATCTGAACTTAATCGCATCTGATCCTACAACCAAGCAAGCCACTGGTTGTAGGATCACCTCTCACTCTTAGGACTAAGAGTCCATCTTAAAATATATATTCCTCTGGACCATAACGAATTATGCTGAGTCTATGTACATCCAGACTCTAGTATGCAATAGGAACACAAACATATAACTATATATTCAATTTAGTACTTTATATACAACTCCATAAGACAGACTTTTTCCTTAACAAATAAAACTATTTACCTAAGTTTGTCACAGTAGCTATACTTCTTTTTGATCAGTATTGATTTCTGAAAAACACCTTATTTTCAATAGTTGTAAATGTTTTGCTGGCTCAAAAAGACATGAAGATAAATGGGCTATGTAAAGTTTTCCTTTAAAATAGGAGAGTAAAAAGTGTTTCTTAAATATCTAATTGAAAGCAGTGCCTTTTAGGCTACAGATTTTTCCATTATAATATATACACCAGAACACAACGCAACTTAAGTGTTAAACATTAGGAATTTTCTAACATATATACAAATGAAAATAAGTTATTTTGTTTTTTAGGATCAAATATGAGTCTTTGTACAGAAACACCTTAAACCTGAATGTTAAGTTTTCTCCCAAGTCATTTGCTTCAAACAGTCTCTTTCCAAGAAAGATCTGTATTTTAACTAATAATTCTAGGGGAGTCACATTACTGATGAAATAAGAAATTATGAATATAAAAACAATAACTCTTTTTAGAAGCTAAAGAAAGACAAAGAAGAAAACATAGACAGATGACAACAAATACTTAATGGAGTGCCTTCCATGAGCCAGACATTAAAATGGGAACTAAGGACATAAGGTAAATCAAACACAGTCCCTGCCCTCATGAAATTTATAATTGATGTAATGCCATTATTATATCTTTCTCATGTCAAAAGCGGTATTTATATTGCCATCAATCCATAAATGAAAGTTAAACATGCCTTACAGGAAAGTATTTCCTAACCCCTGGAATAATCTGCTCCTCTAAACAAGAGGTTAATCAACTGGACCTTCCCATTCCACTCTGTCTTTAAACAAGAGGCTAATCAACTGGACCTTCCCATTCCTCTTTGTCTTTGGGTAATTTTACTATTTATGCTTTATGCTGTACATTCGGTCATGGGGATATATAATATAGATGTTTATTAATGATGGTGATAATGGTAACAGCAATAGTTAATATTTAATAAGCATGTGTTAAGTTCAGGGCATGGCACTAAACACTTAACATTTATTATTTGTTCTAATCCTCACCACAACCCTATTTGATAGATATTATTAGTATGTGTAACAGGGCTAGTACTGAAAGATTACTGTTTTATCAAATAGATCAAAATAAAGGACTTAAATATATCAAATTAAGAAATCTAATTTTACTTCTTTATTCTTCTATCTAGAATCATAAGTAACAACTTAATCAGAAATATATAACTGCAAGTTTAAGTTATCACTAGCCTGCTCCTCAGGGGAATATACACAAAGCTCAGAATATGGCAGAAGATAGGAAAGACAGAAGTAGTATATCCATCCCTTCTCTCCTTAAACCTGCGTTTTCTTTTGTTTTTTTAAAAAGTACAATATCCATTTGTATGATCATATTGCTTACACCAAAGACTTTTGTTTTATCTGAAAGAACTCTTTTAACCAGCAATAAAATAAAATTTATAAATTAATTTCTAGGCTGGGCGTGGTGGCTCACACCTGTAATCCCAGCACTTTAGGAGGCAGAGGCGGGCGGATCACCCAAGGTCAGGAGTTCGAGACCAGTCTGACCAGCATGGTGAAACCCTGTCTCTACTAAAAATACAAAATTAGCCGGGCGTGGTGGCACATGCCTGTAACCCCAGCTACTCGGGAGGCTGAAGCACAAGAATCACTTGAACCCAGGACGCAGAGGTTGCAGTGAGCCAAGATCGTGCCATTGCACTCCAGCCTGGGCAACAAGAGCAAAACTCCATCTCAAAAAAAAAAAGTGACAGAGAGAAATGTAACAACTTTTCCCCCTTTCCTACTCCCTTCTGTTTCATTTTTCAAAAATAATCATTTATCTGATTAAAGGTTGAATTAGAGAAAAGTATTTTCAAATTCCCCAAAAGTTATCCCTCAATTCAAAACAGGATATAGCACTAATTGCTGAGAGTTCCAAAACTCTATTTTGGGATTTTTAAATCCCAAATTCATTCCAAATCTCAAGATTACAGTTATTAAAAGGAACTGAAACAGCCCTTCCTCTAAGATGCCTGTTTGAGAAAAGAGTTATCTTTCCGCAATCCTGAACTGGAGTGAATGTTGAACACCCCTTTTGATAAAGTCTTAATTACAACAATTTTTAACCATTTAAGAGCTATGAAACTCACTGAGAAACTTGTGAAGGCTATGGACTTCCTTCCCAGAATAATTATAAGTACATACACATAAAATTTTATATAATTTTAGGCAATCCACACACTTACTGAAACCCAATCATAGACCTCATTTTAAAACTCTTGGTCTGGGCCGGAGGCGGGGGCTCACGCCTGTAATCCCAGCACTTTGGGAGGCTGAGGAGGGTGGATCACCTGAGGTCGGGAGTTCGAGAGCAGCCTGGCCAACATGGTGAAACGCCATCTCTACTAAAAATACAAAAATTAGCTGGACATGGTGGCACATGCCTGTAATCCCAGCTACTCAGGAGGCTGAGGCGCGAGCATTGCTTGAACCCAGGAGCTGAGATCGTGCCACTGCACTCCAGCCTGGGTGACAAAGCAAGACTCTGTTGCAAAAACTAAACAAACAAAAAACAACTCTTGGTCTGTTTATTCACCAGTCACATACCTTTCAATATCTCAGGAACTTGGTATTATGTGTGAAAATAATAAAGTGAAGCTTTTTGAAGAAAAATCCATTGAAAGAAAAATGTTTAATGTCCCAAGATGAAAGGGGTAGCTGGCAATTTGGGGTATCACTAAGCTGGCTGTACTCCAAAAGGTCTCACCAGACAACACTAGAGAAGCCATCTAGAAGTTAACAAGGTCTTAGACTGTGCACAAACCACATTAATATCTCAGACTTCCACTGCTGACTAATATCTTCTTGCTTTAGATGTTTTAATAGCATTTAATCAGTGGAAATTTTGACATAGTAGTATGGCCAGATTTTCCTTACTATTACTGATTCTTATCTAGAAGACAGTTTAGCCACTCATTGCAGCCAAGAGGGGTCTTTCTTTTTCCTTGGCTTCAAGGAGTACAACTAAAAAAATATTTTAATATAGTAATATGTACATTCAAGGTAGCTATGATTTTTTCTTTCTTTTTGGTGAAAGGGCTCCCTGGCTTATCTAACAATCACAATGCCTCAAATTCATCTTTGCATCTTCTTGACTCACTCTTAATCCAGCAGATTTCAAAAAATATCTATTGGGTATCTAATAACTATAAAGTTCATAAGGGCAAGGTCCAGGTACCCTTTGGTCACTATGGTATGCCTAGTGATTAACTACCTGGCACACAGTAAGTGCTCAGAAAATACAACTTTAATATGCTGATCATACTCTTGCAGCAACTACCAGTTCAACCACTACGTATATGAGCTTGGCAAGTTACTAAGTATCTCTGAGATCATTTATTTACCTAAAAAAAGTGAATAATGATATTCATACAATTAGTACTAAGATTAAATAAGATCAAGTACATAAAGCACACTACTGTAGTATCAAAAACACTATATTATTCTTTAATGTAAATCTATATTTTTAAGGCCTGTTAAAATATAGCTGAATTTTAAAATATGACACTATAGTCATATTGATATGGTTCAAATTAACTTTACAACCACATTCTTACAAAAAACAAAAACAAAAACAATAAAGGGCCAAAAAAGCTAGGAGCAAAAATATTAAAATACAGAGACAAAGACAGCTAAAAAAACAAAAACCAAAAAAACCTCATAAATAAGACAATGTTTTGAAAGAAAATAACTTCCTTATATATTTGTGGCTTAAAACACAACTAATACTTTCCAAGTGACAAAGCTGGCACAAACATAGCAATTGGGAGATTTAGCTTTCCTAAAATTATTCTCCAGCTCTGTCAAAAAAAAAAAAAAAAATCTTTACTTCTTAAAGGCACGTACTCTAAAACAAAATTTTCTTGGTGGTACAAAAGCGCCTATTAAAATGCGCTTTAGTTTTCTTCCCCCTCCACACCCCCACTCCCCCTGCCTGCACTGTTTTCTTTTAAAACTAAGTCCTATAGTGCCATCTACTGTGTCTGCTCAAATCACATCACGTTTGCTGGTTTTATCCAGCAAAAGAAACGAGAAATATAGCAAATTTAGAATCTGTCACTTTATACAATATACTTAGATGTAAATACCTACCTACACACACTATCTATATCTATATCTATATCTATATCTGTATCTCCACCCATATGTTAGTATCTGAGCAACAATTTACCTGCTTGCTTTCCACTTTCTTCTTAAGTGGGCCTGAATTCATTATAACCCAAGTATCATAACAGGAACCAAAATGTTTACCTCTGTACATTAGAGGAAAGAGGTACAGTAATAATAACAAACCTTTATTGAGGGCTTACTGTATGACAAATAGTATTCTAAGTGCTTAAGCAAAATAAAGATTCCAGAGATAAAGCTTGAAAACCATTTACTCCACTCACATGAGTGAAAATGACTGCTGTTTATTTGTTTTACATGGATATACTACCATGCAAATAAAACCAAGCACCTTGAGGAAAAGAGCTGTGATTCACTGTTCTTTTAAAATAAATGGATGTCAACTCCACAGCCTATGGTAAAAAATGATTTAATTGAATGATGGATGGATGGAGGGATGGGTGGAATAATAGATAGACAGATGGATGGATATAGATGGCCAGCCCACAGCTCCTGTGACAGTGTCTATCATGTTTTTTAACCCACAGGGTCTTTTTCGTTACAAAGATGTAGCCTTTAAAACCTCCTTCTTCCTCCCTAAGTGTATATTTAGGGAGCACAAAGAAAAAAATTTTTAAAGGTCACTTATAAACATGGTTTGTCTCCAATATAAGAAAATGTGTATTAGTACAAGCCTCATAACTTACGTATCTAAATAAGTGATGTTTGTGAAATGTATCAACCAAGAACTTAATTTAATACTACTAGTACACAAACATTTTTTGCAATTTCTCATTGGTAATTTCCTTTAGAATCTGTTTTGAATGCAATAAAAGAAAATATGTTTTACTACTTTATATTTTATTTATTATATTTAATATATTTTAATCTATTACTTAGTTTGACCACCCATCTTATTCATCACACTCAGCTCTAAATGACAGTTGACTGTTTCAAAATTCAAAACAGCCTACAAAAGAAAGACCTGCCACCACAGAAAACTGACAAAAGAACTTACCAAGAAAGGAGTATGCATAAAATGGGTATATAACTTCTATGACCATTTTGAGAGAAACAACGTCCATTTGGATACACTACTGCTGACATTTAAAAAGAAAGAAACTCAGGCATCATATTTTTAAGTCACTGAATTTTATAACTGCAACTATTCCCATAATAGTTTTCATTTGTTATATATATAAATGTTCTCTGTCTTAAGTCTTCCTTTCATAAAACTGTAAAGACTCTGTAGTCTTCTTGGAGGACTTGGCAGGCTTTGAAACTTCAACGCATTGACATTACTCCTGCTACTTCACGTAAACCTTCACTTTAAGTTCAGTGTGTCTGCCACCATATTGCTCAATTCTTCTACTATTCCAAATGCTCTGAAGCAGCTTCCCGGAAATCCTTGTTTGGATCAGCAAAAACAATTTGGTGTCATCAGCAGATTTCACCATTTCCTTCTGGAGTCATTAAAACACTAAACAAGCATGATCTTGGTATCATGGTTGATACCAATCCTTGGGTTTCCTATCATTAACTTCACTCCAGCTGAAGTCAAGCTATTCTCTGCTACATTGTGATTTCCAAAATAGGACCAGGATGTGTTTATTTGCTAGAAATGTACACACTGTTGGATTTTTTAAATGAAAGTTGCAAAATGCATTATGAAAGTAAAGGGGAAAAAATCCCAAAGGCCAGAGAAATCAGCAAAGAGAAGCAGCTCCTAGTTGAATTGTCTCATCCAAGCATACTGCCTCGTATTTAACTGATTCGTAAACCTCGACAGGATTTTAACCTTTCCCCTCCAATTACTTATTTCTGTTATAATTATATGAGAGACTTTATTAAACACATTTGAAAATTCTCTGTGAATTATAACCAGCACGTCCAACTACTTTATTAGCTTTTCCTTTCTTTACTACGTTTAAAGAGAGAAAAGCAAACAGTCCTTACCCAGAAAGTAAAAAAGCAAACAGTTTTCTACCCAAACTGGTCTGTACTCTGAACAAGAGAAATCACTCTTTCTTTTATTCAAGTGCAAATCTGTTTGAAGCTTTCATTCTGCTTTCCCAGCCTGCTCTCTGCAAGTGCATAAAAGATGAGACATGGGAATAAAAGAAAACTAGGCTGGGGCCAAAAACCAATACTGTCCATATGCAAACTCACTCAAAGAGCAGAGGTTTCTGTACATCCCTTCCCACTGCTTCCATTTTAGCAGACCCCTAGCCAAAAGGAGGAGGTACTGTGCTATATCTATATGTCCCATCCTGTTGAAAACAACTTCTTATATGAAATCAGGGGAAGGATAAGGTTACTAAACCCCCAGTCCTGACAGGGAGGCTGAGGCATTCTCAGGGTCAACTTTTAG